TTGACGTATTGATAACCTGATACATACAGAAATACAACTGGATTGAGCCTCTAATTAAATCCTGATTATAGTTCAATTCTATGGGTTGGGGTTCAGGTTCAGTTGGCAACACAGCTACTTCTCTTGGCGCTTTAGAGTAACCTTCCCTACCCACCCCAAAGTCTAATTTATTAGCATTAAGAGCTAACGATGAATTATCATCGTATCAGTGATTGTAGTCTGGGTTCATTCGAATCCCGGCGAAGAGACCATCGTCTACGTCTAAAGTACATTCCGAGGTTTTGTTACCTCGACCTCAGGCCTCGATTATCTGTCCACTGTATATAAGACTTCTCAGCATGTCTGAGCAGAGAAGGTCCTCCCTCGGCCTCGGCCGAGAGACAGTCGAGGTGAGACCCGATTCCATCCGGTGCCACGACTCCCGAGAAGAAGGCAAGAAACAAACGTTTCAAGGACATCGGAGTGGCGGGATGGTGTGTGGAGGCCGGTGGAGATTAGCCCCGGGGTTAAACCGTGCATGATTACATATCAGAGCAGGGCACACGTTACGGCCTGAGCGAATCCGCAGCTGGAGATTGGCAGAGGAGATCTCTGTCCCTGTTAATGTGGCCAGCAGTCAGATCCAATCCGGGATAAGATGGAGGATATTATGAGAGGAAGCGCATGTATACACAGCAGCACATAAATCTAATCTATCCTTACTCTGACATTGCACTTAATTGCACTTTAATCTACAAGATCTTCGCTTTTGTTTTGGTAAGGAGCAGTTGTCATTCACTATCTTAAGCTTCCCAGAAGGCCTAAATCGAACTTAAATAAATGGCTTCATATTTGCACGAGTGTGTAAAAGCACTGCTCTGGTTGTGTATGTCATTGCTATTCTTTGTACAGCGCTTGTGTGTGTGTGTGTGTGTGTGGTGTTTGAGCTTCTTCGCCTGGCTCACCTGGTATCTGTCAGAATGGTGCGGGTCGTCGGAGGACAGCGGCGAGATTACTGGAGACTCTCCCTCACGCTTGATGTGCACTGACAACAGGAGAGACTGAGGAAAGAAAGAGACAGTGAGAGATGAACAGTCTGCAGTCATCCACAGGATAAATATGTCACCTGCAGCCCTGTTCATCATTTCTGACGGGCCTCCGCATGCTATAGAACCAGGTTTAGGTTAGCTAGAAGCCTATAAAGATGCCACACTAGGTAGCATGGTAGGATACACTCCGTCTATTTTCATTACAAATCTCTCTGATAAAAAAAAAACAAAAACAAAGAAGAAGAAGAAGAAGAAGAAAAGATTCGATTTGTCCTATGGCTGCACGAAGGCAGGAGCGTAAACTCGGCGTTCTTTACTAGGAGTCTTGATCTCTGGCTAGCCTTTTATGAGCCCGCTATAAAATATTTGTATTTACAATCCTCTCCAATTAATCAAAGCGAGAGGAGGGGTAGCGGCTTTAGCGGGTGACAACCGTAATCTAATATTAATACGTGAAAAATGGCAGGCTCGCTCCACGGGGACAGTAAATTAGACATTATGCATGGCTTCTTATGCTTTTGAATCGCAAGGTCAGGAAACAATTTATTTGCCAACTCAAAGCCTTTGGAGCTTAGGGAATATTGGAAGAGAGCGGGACAGAGAAAGAGAGAGAATGAATGTGCGTATATGTGTGCGTAAACCGTTTATGTGGCTGTGCAGTGTATCGAGTATGAGAAATGGACCAGCTGCTTCGGCAATATAGAAATTCCTAATCATTCGCAGCCAGCAATGCGGGAATAGTTGCGAATAATGTCAATTGAACACGACATCAGTTGCTGTTTTGCTTTCAGACCAATTAAGAGTTGTTCTTTTCAGGCCGATGGGAAAGCAAGAATTTGGCGATGGAATTGGCCTCTGACCCACAGGATTAGTGCCAGCCTGGGCTGGCATGGAGTTGCTATGGCAATGCTGTTCGCAAGAGGAGTGCGAAAAGCAGATCGGGCCAGATCGGGGGTTAATCCGCTTTAGAACTGGGATGCCAGGCCCGATCCGTCAGCGAGCGTGGACCCCCTGTCCCAGTTGGCCTCTTCATTTTCCACACACTGCTGAGGAATACTAAACGCTAGCTGTGGAATGCTCGGTCACGTCTGCACTCTACCCCTCGTCCACTTCCGTGCCCACTTTTTTTTTTCTCTCACACCGAGCTTCCTCGTTTTGCATAAGCATGGGTCGGAACCTCGTTTCCCTCCGCCGCCGGCACAGGAATAATGATGTGAATTGCTTTTATAAGCCCCATCGATCAAAATCATTGCACTGTTTAAAGGTTTCTTCCTTTTGGATTAGGGGCGTTCTCTGAGCTGGCATTTGAAGGGAGATATAGTGTAAAATAGAGCTCAGTGAGCTCAAAGTGTCAGTTTTACACGTATGGCTCGGTGTTAGTATAAGTTGATATTAAAAGCCCTATCTAATCATTTCCGTATGACATGTGAACCAGCAAATCTCTTTTCCAGAAGTCAGCGATAAGAGCAGACTTTTGTGCCAAGTGGGCCTGTGTATTTGGCAAGTCTCCAGTGATATGAAATGTCATGTCGCTCCTTCTCCTTTCCTCCTTCATCTCACGTGCTCTGTTTATCTCCTTCTCTCTCCCTCTCCCGACCATGTCAATCCTGTCTCAATATGGGTGTAGAAATAATTGAACCAATTCAGAGTCCAAGATAAAGCCAACACGATCCCCTCGCTTCCGATTAAGACTGAGTAGAACAATAAACCCTCGCTGGCATAGTTACCATATGATTGTTAATAAGGCCCAGCAGGAAACCATCTTAAGCTCTCATAAGTACATTACCACAGGAAATAAAGGACCATAATTCCATAATTCCTCTCTCATAGCTAAGTGGGGCTCTTCGTAGGACTTAATAGAATGGAGAAGAGCTCTTATTGCTATTAACGGCATTCAAACCAAAAGGACCATCTTACCTTGGGTGTGCCGGGCGCTGTGCTGAGATCCTTCGGTGATGGGTTCTTACTATAGAAAGAAGCACACACACACACACACACACACACACACACACACAAAACCATCAGAACTGACCAGGGCTCGCCAACAACGTGAGGTCAACGTACAGTACACGTTATATATCTCAAAAGTCTTCATACATATGTTCACACTTACTTTTTATATTAGATATATATGTTTTTTCAGAAGAAGAACGTGTTGAAATCAGTCTCGTGGCTCGATCGGGAAACTTTAACAGGAAACATATTTACAGATTCAAAAAGACCGGAAGTGTTGCGGACCGACCGAGAAGAACCAACATGGCATCCACTGACGAAGGCACAACCCACGTGGGGCTGGTATACGTGCTCCACTGCTGGATGGACACTTTTGGGACAACAAAACAAAAAAACTGACTTTTTGGGGAAGCCCCCCTCTTTCCCCCCCCCCCAAAAAAACACACAACCCCCCCCCCCCCACCACAAAAAAAAAACCAAATGGCCAAAAAAAAAAATTTTTAAAGGACAGCTGAGACAAAAGTCCACGAAGCAACACAAATCACAGTTTTAATCATGTGGAGATGAAAAAAAGCGGCGCTTTGCTGCTGCAGCCGTGCCCTGTGTGCCACTCAATCGTGGCAGCCCAGGGCCATGCTGTATTTGAAACAATTACTGTCCAAAAGTACCTCGGCTAAGCAGATTTGGGTTATAATTTTTTTATTGAAGTAATCATTCTCATGGATGTGCTCATCCAGTCGTTCATACCCTCTCTTCTTCTACGTTCTCTCTGTCTCTCTCTCCCGCTCACACACACACACACATACACACAGTTTGGCTGAGGCAGGAGGAAATAAATGATTTTGCCATTATTTGATTTGTCAGTGAAGCGCCTTGGGCACTTAGGACTTTGAAATATGTCGAGGACAATGCGCCGGCTTGTAAACATTGTATTAAGGAGGCAGAAAGGAGCGGAGGGGAGTAGGGGAGGTGAAGAGACCCCCCCACCACCACCACCACCACCACCAACTTTCAAGTGCGGTCTGAAGGGGAGGGGAGGGGTTTGCGGGGGCTACATTGAATCACCGCCTCGTGGACACAGCCAATTGAAGATGACTGATTAGAAAGCAGGAAAAATTAAACGAGCCAGCTAAAGCATCCACTGACAATAGGGAGAGACACATGAAATCAGATCTCTGCCTGAAACATTAATATATCTTATTCCAGCTTCCCCTCCTCTCTCTCATCTCTCTCTGCCTCAAGCACACCTGAGGTCTTTTTTGTGTGTGTGTGTGTGTGTGTGTGTCTTCCATGTGTGTTTCCTTTTCAGTCATTCAAACTATATTCTTCTTTCTCTACGGCCTATATAAAGCGCATAAACAAACACACAATAATACCCCTTAACCCCCCATTGGTATTTCTAATGCTGAGAAACGATGAGGTGAGCTGCACTGACAGAGGGGAAACATGTCACCCTTGTCACGTTCACTTTACGTCCCTTGTTCACCGCCGAAGCACGGAAATTTAATCCGCTCCAGCTCCTAGTAAATAAATAAATAACGCGATTCGGAAAAGCGTGCTCGTCTCTGCCACGTACAACCGGACAAGGACGAGGACTAAGCGAAATGGGGCAAAGGACTGCGAGTAACTACCACTAATGATAGGTGAGGGTGGAGTCAGCAGTTGGCTCCGCCCTCGTGCAGGTAATAAGCTTCATGCCTGCCTCTTGTGCAGTTAACATGATTGATCTTACAAGGCCCGAGCAGAGAGATAGATAGATAGAGAGAGAGAGAGAGAGAGAGAGGAAGTGAAAGAGACAACACAAATCAGGACAGGGCCTTGAAAGAGGATGAATTGCCCCATCGGAGGCAGTGCACTGGTTGTGAGATAATAAACACACTCCCCCGGCATCATAAATCCGCCACTATGGCACAATGGATCTCGCTGGCCCTTACTCACTCCCAACACACACACACACACACACACACACACACCGTCCGTAAGTGTATTACACCAGCAAGTTCAAAAGCACGGAAAAAGGGCAGTGGTAGCTCAGTGGTTTAGACGTTGGTCTACGGATCAGAAGGTCGTAAGGTCAAACCCTAACCCAGCACTGCCAAGCTTTCACTGTTGGGCCCTTGAGCAAGGCCCCTAACCCTCAACCGCTCAGCTGTGTGAATTAATGTAAGTCGCTCTGGATAAGGGCGTCTACCAAATGTCGTAAATGTAAATGTAAAAAAAATGTTCCAACTTTAAAGACTCTTCAGTTTGTCCCTCTGGAGGTACGCTTAAACTGGTCTTAGACTGTGCAACAATGACATCACAGCGCTCATACTCTGCAATGCCAATGCTGAGACTAGTCACCACAGGAAGTTTGCGTTTCTGCGCTGAAACTTCTAAAGGAGAAACCAAAGAACGTAGTCACACAGGACGCTGTGGTCGCTCTTCAATCAGTGCCACTTCCATCTTCTCAGTCACGGCGTCTCAGCTTTTCGTGTTTAAACTCATCAGTCAGATAGACTACCTAGCGGCGCTAACTAGGCTTCCGAAATCTATATCAGATTGTGACGCTACTCACACTACATGATGTCCAGTGTCAGAAATCCCGTTCGTTGTTCCCCCGACGGCATGACGGAACGCGTTCACTGGACGTTGTTTACCATTTTACCATCCGATTTCTTGTTTTTAAATTGCCGCTGCCAGCAAACATTCCTCGACTACATGATTGTATTAAAATTGTCCAGCGTAACGCCATCTTTAGGTTTAACAGAGGGCTTGGGAAGCTAAGAAAGCTCAACTATTCAAGAACCCGAAGCGAATAACATTTTTATGTTCACGCATATTAGTCATCTTAGTAATATACGGTTCATTAACAATTCCGAATTGTGAGATGCAGATTTAAATGGTACCACAGATGAACTGCCTCCTCTCTCCAAAAAAAAGGGTTCATTGCTTCATACCCTCTTAATTCAATTCAATTTTATTTGTGTAGCGCTTTTAACAACGGACGTCGTCTCAAAGCAGTTTTACAGGAACGTATAAACACAGGATGGAGATTTTAAGTGTGTTTTTATGAATTTATCCCTATTGAGCGAGCCGGTGGAGACGGTGGCGAGGGGGAAAAAACTCCCTACGATGATATGAGGGAGAAACCTTGAGAGGAACCGGACTCAGAAGGGAACCCGTCCTCATCTGGGTAACGACGGATAGTGTGAAAGTAAAAGAAAGTTCTTTATGGTGTTTATATGAAGTCTGTGTGTTGAACTAGTCCACCGTTCTCTAAAGGAGACCTGAGTGCAAAACTGCATGTAGTAATTGCAGTCCCAAGGCCATCGCTGCAACCGTAGTCCCAACAACCACAGAGAACGTCCATGTGGAATTGAGATCCAGAACCATTTCCATGGTACTTCAAGATAGGGCATCAGGATCAGTTTCACGTCATTAAAGTGTTTGTCCCCCCCCCCCAAAAAAAAAAGAACTCAGAAGAGACGATAAGAACGCTTAACTATCCAGAGCTCTTTATCCTCTTTTTATTTGCTATATTATATATTGAAACAATGAAGAATCTGTGTACCTATGAGGCAACTTTACAGACACAACAAGAGCATCAGGCCCTGTCTCACACCTCTTCAAAACAACGGGGGCAGTGGGGGGTACGCTACGTGTCATGTGCGGGAGATTTTTATTCCTTGTTCTTTACTGCTTCCCCCTGCATGGTGACAACGAGAGAGAATGACTTTTGAAGAGGCAGCCATCACTGCCAGCGAGAGAAAACAAGGAGAGGCAATGTTGAGGCCCTGTTGTCAAAGTGACATCTATGTGAGAGTGAGACAGTGAGAGAGAGAGAGAGAAGAGAGAGAGAGAGAGAAGGGGCTGGGAGGGAAGAGCATAGAGAAAAGATGAAAGGAAACACGGAGACAGACAGATCGGGGGATGCAGAAGGAGGGCTGGAGACACTTTTTCCCGCGTCACGGCTGCGAATGTCGTGCGAACACATCAGCGCGAGCTTTCAGTCTGTCCTGTCAGCCCATTTTGATATGAGCGACAAAAGCCAGGGACAGAAGGAACAGAGGAGACACATAGAGACTGAGTTGGCTTCCGCTAACGAGACACCGGAACAAAGATGAAAATAAGGAAAAGGGAGGAGAAAAAAAAAAAAAAAAAAAAGGAACCCTGGTTACGGCTATAAAAGGTTCAGCGGTGGGAAGATGACAAATCTATAAGAATGAGTTTCTTTTTATCAGTGCCATAGTCGTAGACCAGAATTAATTCCAGGCTACTGGGTCTCCAGAAAACACTTTCTGGATGAAGCAAGCTCATGCATTGATTGTCAGAGAGAGAGAGAGAGAGAGAGAGAGAGGAAGACGAGGCTTGAGTGCGCGAGGGAGGTGTTGAAAATTGAATAAATACCAGTCGACGACTGGGGTGGGGTGGGGTTGGGGGTTGTACACTAGAGATAAAGATTGCTTTTGGTACCGTTTTCCACCCTGCTCTCTTTCGCTCGGTTGGTGGCAAATTGATTAGGTGGAGGGGTTTGGGAGCATCTGGGAGGTGTGTGTGTGTGTGGGGGGGGTGTAATGTAGATTGCTGTGTGCAGGCTGATGTGCAAAGGGCATGATGGATTCCCATTTCCATACATGAGGAAGCGGAGGACACGTTAAGGCAAAAGAGAAGTAACACAGGAGGGCGGGAGGGGTTGGGGGTTGGGTTGGGGTGGTGGGTTGCTGGCAGTCCCAATCTCAGACACGCTCACCCACATCCATCCAGACATCTGCCTAATGCTACATCTTAAATAGCCTTCTCCATTTTACATGCACTCCATTCTCATTTGCTGCTGAATGAAACGGTATCATTAAAGGGAGATTTACTACAAATTGCCACAAATTTGCCATGTCACTTTCAATGATCTGTGTGAGTGTGTGTGGGCGTGTGTGTGTGTGTATGTGTGTGTGTGCAGGCACAGGCTTGGAGGAGAAAGAGGTGGCTGCTGCTGTGGATCAAGCGCCGTGCGAAGTTATACGGTATATCCTGGTCTAAAAAAGCCCTATTAATTACACCATTCCTAACGGAAATAATGAACACGGGGTATAATGATGTTTGTACGGTTTAACAAACGAACGCGGATTGATCCACAGCTTCTAGTTGTTGTTTGCGAATGGTCCTTAATCATTCGTATGGGCTTCTGTTCTATTTTCATGGGGGTGGTTGGGAGCGTGGAAAAAGTTTGTGGAGGCGTTTACCTTATAACTGGGAGAACTTGAGATTCCCAGAATCCTGAGCCATCGTTTACTGGGAATGCTGTCGGTATACGTCTCTATGCAGCTATGCTATAGCGGTGCATGAGCAGCAGTTTGAAAAATAAATAAATAAATAAAAAAGAATACGATCAAGCAGCTTGCTTCACGTGTCTCAGAGGAAGAAAATAATAGTCTTTGACCTTTGAGCTGTCATGCACTATGGAAGAACTGCTAGAGCCTGGGAACTGGCAATAGGACCAACATTGGGTAAAATGGACATTGTGTTCCATAGAGGTTAAGGAGAGCGGAGCAAGCCAGACTAAATCATGACTCAATGACACTCTGCAGCATCTACCGAGCAGTGATGACGGCATTTCCTTAAATAACCCCCGCTGTCCAAATTGGCACCGCGCTGCCCTTTATGAATTATTAAACCCTGACTCGTCACTGGCATGTGATGGATAACTAGCGCTCGTGCTGGAGACAGCACTCGTACACAGAAATGATGCGTTGCGACATATCTGCTTAGAACTCTCATCCCTAACAATACAGGCTTAACTCGGAATGCAGCATATCGACTGAGGTTTCCTGTTTGACAAAGAAGGAATGATACAGCAGAGGAAGCACTTGCAGCTGCATAGGAAGCGCAGATTGTTCTAGCCCAGAGTTAACTGGGAGTTCATTGTCAGCTGAAGCGTCACGCGTTGCCGACTGTCATGTTGTGTCAAAGAGGCGACCACGGTGAGCGATGGCAGGCTGTACAGATCTCTCTGATCCACTCCACATGCTTAACCTGGCCAAGCTCCAAAGCCATGACAGCACCGAGGCTGATTTATGAGAGACGGGCTTCAAGACTAGCTGAGCCATTAGGTCAAGAGCAGGTTGGATCGCGCTGTCAGACCTGAAAGCTCACATCGTAGAGGAGTAGAATGTGCTGTACGGGAGATATGTGTCTACCTGATGTGCAAATGGGTGAGCCTCTCCATCTCCTGCTCCATGTGCTCCTGCAGCTCTCCAGGACGCAGCAGAACCTGGCAGATAGGGCAGATGGGAGCCTGGCTGTCATACAGAGACACCTTCTTCTTGCCTGAGAGGGAAAGAGAGAGAGATAGAGAAGAGAGAGAGAGAGAGAGAGTCAAGAGCGAAATCCAACAATAGTGAAGTGACCTACATGAAAACTTCTCAAACATACTTGAAATGTTCTTTCCATTGCCAAACCAGTCAAGCAGCACAGTATTTGAATCTGATTTGCACAACAGGGAGACTGAAGATGAGGAAAAGTGTAAGTGAGAGTTGTGTGTGTGTGTGTGTTGAAGGGCAGGGGTGAGCGCTGTGGCTTGCTCAGGGTATTGTGTGTGTGTGTGTGTGTGCAGCTCGTGGATTAAGTGGCTCGGATTTCAGTAGCAGGAGAATCCGTCACCCTCGGCCTCCTGTCTCCAGTTCCCTCATTATAGCAGAGGCGAGCTCAGTCAGCCCAGCAGCCCGAGAGGAGCTGCTAACTTACTGCACCTCACCGACTCTCTACAGCATCTCCACTTCACTTCATAAGCCCAGTTTCCGGTGACTTCCACACCACTCTGACACAATACAAGCTAAAAGAATGCACTTTCCACATTATAGTCCTCAATGTTATATCTATCTATCTATACCAATATATACTTTATTTACACAGTTCATATATTTCTCACCTACAGTATGTGCATGTGTATGGTGTTTAGTAAAGGCCGGTATGATCATAATATCAATCATCATCGCCAATGCATAAGCAGATCTGTTTGAAATATGATAAACAAATGTGTTGTTTTGTTCTCATAATGTGTGTGTGTGTTCATATAGACCAGAGTTATTATAGATATTGGGGAAAAAACGAACAAACCTGAAA